TAGACTTTGAGAATGTTTGCAAACAACAAGCTACGGCTCGATCGGACAAAAAGATGCCTGAACTGCACCGCACCGGAGCTTCGTTTAAAATCAAATGAAGCCTAAAACATTCTTCTTGTTGAAACACAGCACCATCAAAATTAACTTTGACAACTCCCTCGCGCGGTGGCAGCCATGTTCTCTAACCCTTGCCCCGTCGGTGATTGAGTTAGCAGCACTAAACTCATCAAGCAGTAGTGTGGCACTAGTAATAATTCTCATGGGATCCTTCCAACGTGAACCATGGAGCTCTTCATTCCTTGCGATCCAAATGCACCATAACAGCATAAGAAATTTCCAAGAGCTAGAAAAGTTCGAACATCAAATATTTCCCTCCTTCATACCCTTGCGCGTTTCGCTCTTTTCCTCTGACACTTCTCTCAACCACAGCTTTCCCACGATTTTATAACATTTTTCTCTCAAACCCTTACGGTTTACATCTCAATCTTACCCCTTGAAGCAATATGGCACTCCAAAATGAAATTCATTGAAAAATCTGTGTTTGGATGTTAAGAAAATGAAGTTTTCTTCCTTGTCATTTGTCCCTTTCCTCAATTGCATTAAAATTTGTTTAAGATTTCACTTTAGTTTGGTTCCTGAGAAAGTTTATTTTTCTACATCTTTTCTGAAGAAAATATCACTTTTTCATTATTAAAACAAGAATCAATTTCTAGCGATTGCAGGGTAACATACAAACATGGTCACTTGTTTATGATACTGCCCCACGGACAATCAAACAAAAATGACAGGACTGATAGTATGATAACTACAATGCCATAGAAAATAATGGAAAAATAAAAATACAAGACATGTTGTATCCAAGGTACCATCATCCCTCCACTTCATTAGACTGGTTTGACTCCATAACCGGAGGAATACAGTCCACTTTGTATCGAAGGGCTTGTCCAACGAGATACAAATACTGACATGGTTACTATTAAATATGACAAAAAAAAAAAAATAGTGAGATTAGTCAGCTTATGATTACCGAACAACAAGGGCAGGAGCTTGTTGCTAAATTCTCTTATAATACTAATTTTAGGTTTCGGAGCTTTAAGGCAATATTAAGATCTTTTCGGATCCATATAGTTGTTAGGAATAAAATATTGGGGAAAAATTAAAAAGGAAAAAAAAAAAAAAACACACGGAAACAAAACTTGTTTCATTAATGTTGCTTCATAGCGTATTCTCTGAGAGAGTTTTCTCAAGTCTCAACAGTATTTGTTAACAACATTCCTCCGAGAGTAGATTGAAGACTGATATGGCGTATTTTCCAAAACCATGGTAGAGTAGTTGATTTGTTTATGCCTCAAAAGAGAAGTTGGAGTGATAGGAGATTTGGTTTTGTACGTTTTAAAGATATTTTGAAGCGAGAAGAGCAGTAGATAGGCTAAACGGTACTTGGTTAATGGATTTCAGGATTGGGGTAAATCTGGCTAGGTTTAATGGGAGAGTGAAGTATTGAAGGAAGGTTAGAAGGCGAGAGATTCAGGAGAATATGAGAGCTTCAGGACCCTCAAATCTTGAAGTGAGAAATAGAATGCATATTACAAACGAGGGAAAGGGTAAGGGTGATATTGAAGCAAATACGGGTGGGTTCTTGCCAAATTGACGAGATTATTACATTGAATTGTAAAGGAAAGTCTTTTCCAGTAAGAGTTACAGGAGTGGGGGATGAGTTTGTCTCATTATTTCATTGTTGCTGTAAAAACAAGGATTATAGTGCTACAAGAAAAGATTGTCATTTGTCCGAGTTGAACAATGGTGGTAGCTCAGCCAACAAGGAAGATGAACGGTCCCAGGGCGGAAATAGGGATGAGAGTGGGGTTGACATAATGAATGAAACAGCTTGCAGAAAAAGGGAAGTATCCGAGGAATTTAGCTGGGGACTAGAAAACAGAGGGTTGGTGCTCCAGGTGGATATGAGAAAAGCTATTGGTCCAGTAGAAATTAGTTTGGACGGTGACAGACTGGATGTCTCTAATGGATTAAATTCAGAATCGATGAGAAAGGTGGAAGATTCAGAGATTGGATTGGATAGAGTGGAAAAAACGGTTGAGTTTATGGGGGCTGGCGTAGGTGAGGGGGGAGGTATTGAAAATCTTTGCAATAGTGATAAAGATGAGGAATTGCCCAAGGAAATTACCACAAATAGCCCAATTAAAAGGGGCTTGGATAAAGATGTGGTAAGGCCTCTGGCCGGAGCTAATCATAATGAGGGGATATATTGGCTTTATCTGAGGAGGATTTTGTGGCTGAGAGTAAAAATAATAATAAGGGGCAAAGGAACTTCTCTAGAAGAAAAGGGAGAGCTCGAAGTTTGGTAGACATAGGGGGAAGTTTTGTTAAGTAAAATATCTAGTAGAAGACAGAAAAGAGGTGAAAACGTAAAGAAAAACCGGAAAGCATCGAGTGCTAAGCAGAGTGAAGAAAGTATTGCAAATGCCTCGCTGTTGGACGGTGATTTTCAGAACAGAAATAGAGTATTGAGCGTGGAAGAGGCAGAGTAAACATGGAAGATAGGGAAAATGCTGGGAATGGTTGCCAGCTGTGACGATGATACTGTGATTCGAAGTTAATGGAACTAGCTGCAGTTGAGAAAAGGTTGGACTGAGTAATCAAGTACTAGGGCCGAACTTAGGAATTATTTTGTTAGGCGGTTTTGTAGAGGTTGCAAGGGTTGGGTCAGTATTTTCGTATTGAACATTTAAGGCTTGGTAATTCTGCAAAATTAGGATGTGAAGGAACATAATGAATTCGCATAAAATAGGCTTGGTATTATTACAAGAAACGAAGTAGATCTCTGAAGCGATGGATCAAAGAGTCTGGCCGAATTACGAGTGGGTTTTCTCTGTTGCTATAGGGAGTTCGGATGAGGCGGTAATATGTGCTTCAAGGTAGGCTACCCAGGTTGGTCTCTAGTGGCTTCAGAAAATTTGCAAAGTGCTTTATGTGGTTGATGAGTTTTGAAAGAATTCCCACTAAACTTTAGCTGATGAAGTTGGGTCTACGAATTTATCACTTTCAAGCCTATGTACATGGTGTAAAATGGTGGTGGAATATACTGATCATGTGTTGTTTTAACTAGGTGTTGGTGGAGCTACTTCATAGTATGTTCTTGGGCTGATGGAATCTTTACTGGTGTCAACCAAAAACATTGAATGAACTTATGTTGAATTGTTGTAATCCTCTCTTTTCTGGTGCCCTTTAATCATGGTGGTTTGTTACAATGGCATCATCTTGGTGGATCATTTGGTTGGCTAGAAATGTCGTTGGTGTTTGAGAAGCAAATATCACAGTGGATGAATTGTTTGTCTCTAGTTAAGGTAAGGTTCCTTTCATTGGATAACGGCAACAAAGGGGAAGGTGATATTCTCATATACATTATGGTGGGATTGAATGGAGAGGTGGTTAGGATTTATCACCAGAGAAATAAAAGAAGAATGGTATACAGTGGATTTCCCATCATACTGGTTTTTAACGTCTAATGTTAATGATGCAACGAAAGAAAACCTGGACCATCGGGATGGGAGGATGGCTTAAGAGAAAAGAAAATGATAGGGATGATGGCTTAAGAAAAGAGAACCTGATATTGTGATCATGTAGGGCTGGAGGGGATTCAAGGTTTTAATATTGCAGAACTCTTAGATATGAAAATAGCTTAAGAGGTGGTTATGAAAATTGGATGGAAAGGGTTGCTAACAGAATCTGACTCAGAGATGATACTTGTGAATGTGTTTCAGGTAGCTAAGGGAATGGCAGATGCGTTGGTAAGAGATGGGGTATTTCGGTTAGAAATGTTCTTATGGATTGGTGATTGGGTTGCTATATATTATTTGGGAGTTTCTTTTGGTGTTAAAAGGATTGTATCTTTGAATCACTTTATTAGTGATTGTGTCTTTGTTTCAACTCTAACAAAATTATCCTCGACTTAGCAAAAAAAAAAAGGATCCATATAGTTGTCGGTTAATTTTCTACTTGCTTTTTTTTTTTTAAAACTTCATAGAATGCCTAATTTGAATGCCAAAGAAAATAACAATCCGAATAATTAAAATAAAAAAAAATTTTAACTTCTATAGATACAATCAAAATGAATCACTTTTACTTTATATGAAACAAATACTTTGTAATATATTATTAGTCTTTACTCGTTTTCGGTTGAACATATTCCTCCGATTATTGTCATTTGCATTTCTTTTTTAAACTTTAAAAAAATAATAATAATAAAAGCAATAACAAAATTGAACCATTGTGAAGTTAATCGTACTTTAGTGATTACAATTAATGGATTGCTGGTAAAGTTATAAGATACAGTTAAGGCTTTGGGAGGCTGGTAAAAAATTTATAAACCTTGCAGCAACAGAAATAGGGAATCAGGAATTGCAAACAATTGGGCGAGAAGGGAAAGAAGAGAGAGATCTTGCTTGTAAAAAGCGGAGTGCCAATGCCAGCTCTAAGGCTTAAAAAGCTAAAGTCAACAAGGAACCACAAAAAGTCATAAGCTATATGAAAATATAATTCTCCGATCGAACAAAAAAGCACAAACTATAGAATGCATTGGCTTTCAGAGGTGATATTTAATACATAGAATAGAATCAAGCAGCAAAAAGGTACATTAAGATGAAAATTATGAAATCCTCAAATAGCACCACCTACCTTCTTGAAAAATGTTGAATATGAATTATCCCCGATGGTTTGTAGTTTCCAGCCATGTATGTGCTGAAATTGCCTTATATAAATATATGGGAGCATCAGAAGTGTGTCCATAACAGGAAAAACTTGACACTTCATAGCCAATGCAGTAACTCAATAACTTACTTGATCAGACTCATAATGCCGGTAAGGTAATATTAGCTGAAGAATAATCCCAAGTCAACACGGAAAAGAAATTAAAGTAAGAAATAGGTGAGCATTGTACCAAAAAAGAAAAAAAGTAAGCATAGAGATTCAAAGATAAAAGGCTAAGGGAGAGCTGAGGAAGAAGAGGGGAAAAACACAAAAAAAGGGGGGAGGGCTAAAATTGACTGAGGAGAGACAAGAACCAAAGACTGCAACTCAAGAAAATAAATCAGAACATCGAGCAATAAAGGAACTATATTTCTCCGACTTACTGTTTTTTCCCCACCGGTATTTATGTACTCCACACTAAATCCAATATCCTGACACCAAAAATGTAAAGTGATTCAGCATATTATTAACATCAAATGTAGAATGTCTTTAAATGACACCAACCAAATTATTCATGCTAAAACAGAATCATATTGAAAATTCTTGGTAACCTAGTAAACTGAATGTTTCATTAAAGGTTCAAGAAGGGAAAATAATGACAATACCATGTTCATCTTGCCCTGCACCAATGAGAAATCCCAAGCAATATATGAGTTTATTGACTCCACTGACAACGAAACCTGTAAGGCAATGCAATTTATAGAGAAAAAAAAAAGAGAATAAGTAATCTTTACAAAATTCTTTGCCCAATAAAAGTTCTAAAAAAATCAAATAAAAGAACATTAGTCTACATTCGAAAAATCCATTCCTGAAGTTTGATTTGGCTTCTTTAGTCAGAAGTTCTGTGTTACAATACCCTCAATAATAAAGATTGCTTCATGATAAATTCAAGTGGCAAATTCAACTGAAAATTTTGTAAAGAATACAATGCAACGTCTGGAAATGACTAGTCATTAATTTCTACTACTCACCAAACAATAGTGGTCACAAAAATCTTAACTATTATGAAGTCTTTCGTCATTACATACGCACTTTAATTCATTAAATTAAGGAGCATATGGTGACAATACAATACATCCCTGTTGGTTTGAACTAAACTGTAAAGAAAAGATGGGAGTGGTTTGTCTAATTAAACTTAAAGATGCTAGACAATATGCTTAATGGCTGAAAAGCAAATGGCAAGCTAGGGTGCAAGGAGACAGGTAGTTAAGAAATTACTTTGCAGGATAAGAGTAGCATTCCTCCAGGCTTTCAGAATGATCAAACCACTCATAAGTGTAGAGTGGTGGCAACATCCAACAAGGCAGGTTGGGGGAGTGACAAAGGGAAGAATGGAGCAACCCTAAACCCATGTTGACACGTTAAGATGCAAGTACGGTTCATTACGACTTATGTCTGACATGGTACTCAAAATTTTTGGATTCAGCTTCGTCAAAGAAAGGTAATCCATAAAAAAGAGATAAGGAAAAAGGCAAATTGTTGGAGGGAGATTATTGGTTTGTTTACGTGGAATTGTAATCTGTAAATATTTGTATTATTAGAATTGAGTATTTGTATTCATAAAATTAAGGATAGAAAATTAAGATATCCCTCAATTATAGGGATCAAATTTTGGGAGATTTAATTTCCTAGTTTATTTTTTAGTTAGTTGTATATAGGTCTAATATACTTCTATAATTCTTTAAAGTTTTTCAATATACTCTCAATTTTACTCACAATTTTTTTACATGGTATTGAAGCTTTAGGCTATTTTTGGTGTTATAACGTATAAATCTATGGACCCATCGTTAGACATAGATTAAAGGAGTCGTGAATAATTTTTTTTTGTTTAAGTGTGATTGGTCACCTAACAAAATTTATCCCATTTAAAGAGGAGTCGTAAGATTAACTTAAGTATCTTTAAATAGTATATTCTAGTTCACGAAATCAAATTTTAGGTTTGAGAGTGCAGTTACACATAAGGAAAGTTATAGCACTTTCACAACGCATATCCAAAAGATGGTACCAATTTAATTTTAAATTATCCAAACCTTAAAATATTCGTATAATTTTACCAAATCATTTAATTATTGAAAACTAATCCTAAATTTGCTCAAATAGTTTGGTAGCAATTTAAGATAATTTTTTCAGAGTATTTATGCAGACTAATGTCCCACTCTGAAGAAGCTCCGTCATCGGGTTTATTAATATATTTTTATTCAAAAAAAATAATTAGTAAAATCTTTCAATAATTTGATAATATTTACTTTAAAGTAGATCTTCTAGTAGTTTTGTGAGATTTTCTTATAAATTTATTTTAGAAAATGTATTAAATATTCTGATAGTTTGGTAAGACTTAATTTAAAATGTAAATCCTTCAATAGTTTGGTAAGATCAAAACAAAATATTTTATTAGTAATAATTTTTTATAAAAATTTATTTATGAGATTCTCTAATAGTTTGGTAGAATTCATAAAAAAAACCCTCCACTAGTTTGGTAGGATTCATGAATTTATTTTTAAAATATTTTTTTGGTTATTATTTTTAAATAAATAAATAAACAAAATAAAATTCATAAAGGCATTTTAAAAATTAAATAAATAATAAAATTTTCAATTTAAAGTCATAAGTAAAATAATAATTAAAGATAAAAATAATAATAATAAGTAAAAATTAAAAATCTAAAAATAAAATAGAAAAATTAAAATAAAATAAAATCAAAACAGTAAATAAGATGAAAGAAAAACCTGCAATTGGGTCGAGCTTAAAGCGTGGATCTTCACAAGAGTCGTTGGGTTCACATAAAAACTTCAAATTTCAATTGAAAAGTTCATTTTAAATCCAAAAAAACTCAGAAAAGTTTTCAAATTCTTGAAATCCTGACATAAATCCCAAAATTAAAAGCCAGCAGAAAATCCCAACAAAAATCTAAAAAACTCAATAGAATATGAAATCAAACTCAAAAATTAAAATCCAAATTTAAAGAACCCAAAAATCAAATCAAACTTAAAATGAAATAAAATCACAAAACCAAAAAAAAAATCCCAGAATTTACTTAAATGATTCCTCCCCAAAATTAAAAAAAGCAAAAAACTAAAATCCCTAGAATTTTTCTTCTTTTTTCCCCTTTCTCTCTTTTGTGTGTGGTTGATTGGTGTTTATATAGGACCTTTTGCTAGAAATTTTGGGGATTTGCATTGAATGCAAAAGATTACAGATCTAATTATACTCTGAATTGATTTTTTTCTTAATTCTCTTTAAAATCGAATTAATTAATTTTTGAAATTGTCTTGATTTTCCTTGATTCTTAATATCCCTTAAAATTTCTCTAAATTAAATTTGACTTTGATTCCCTGATTTGATTTCTTTTCAACCTTTCTTTAATATTTGAAGATATCATGTTTAAGTCTTAATTATCAAGACCATCCTTGATTAGTGCTCAAATTACTCCATATGATTTATGATTTATGAAAAAAAATTTTAAATCAGATAAATAAAAGACTAAAATATAAATAAAATGTAAATACATAAATAAGAAAAACAATATATAAAAAAGAAATATAGGAAATTGGACAATTGGGCTTGGATCAAATATGGGCCTAATTGGTTTAAGCCATGAACTAAATAGGGTGTCTGCACTTGGGAAGCAAAATTTTCAACCTCATTGCTAACTTCTATTTAAGCCTTAACTGCTAAACCCTATTAAAACCTTCATAGCTATTTTATTTTTTCCTTCTTTAGCCTTCATTACTAAGACTTATTTCTAGTTATATCTTAATTGTTAAGACTTGTTTCAGTATAAAAAAAGATAACAATGTCAAAGATAATGGAATCTATTATTGTTACCATTTGATTTGAAAAAGTGACAATCAGTAAAACTACCAGAGTATTACAGAAGTCTCGGGAATAAGGAGAGTTGGATAGAAAAGAGATTGAGAAACTGATAAACTTGTTAAGGGCCCTTGAAAAGCCTACTAAAGTATGCTATTTGGGTGAGGTCTCTAGTTCTCATGGATCAAATTGGCCATTAACTCAGGAACCACATACCATATGACACATTCCTCATAGAAGTTTAATACTTATATCTTATGTCCTAGTAATAAGAAAATTATTGTTGTTGATGGTTTTCTTACTACTGTGGTAGGATTAGGAGATTTTCAAATTAATCTCTCATTTGTTCTTAAAAATGTTCTTCATGTACCTCAATTGTTTACTAATTTTATATAAAAAAACTTACAAGAGACATGAATTGTAAAATGATTTTTTATCCCCCTTATTGTGAATTTTAGGACCAGAGTTTAAGGAAAATGATTGAATTTCCTAAGGAGAATGATGAACTATACTATCGAGAGACAACAAACAATACAAGTAATATCAAGAATAGTTTACCCTTGTCATTTTTATTTTGAAAAATTTCCCAATAAAGATAAAACCTGACTTTATCATTTTTCATCTTAGACATCTTTCTTTTGAAACTTTGAAAAACATGTTTCCCTCTTTATTCAAAGGATTAAATGTCAAAAATTTTAATTGTGATGTTTGTTAACTTGTGAAACGTAGAATTATGTTTTTTCTAGTTAGCAATAAAAGTTCTATTTCATTTTACTTAATTTGCAAAGACATATAAGGTCTATCTACAATTCTTAATATTTTTGGTGTAAGGTAGTTTGTTTCATTCATAGATGATTATACTATGGTCTCTTGCATTTTTCCACTTAAATCTAAATCATATGTGAATAATGTGTTCTTAAGCTTCCAAAACATGATCCAAATTCAACTGGAGTGAAAATTAAAAGGTTTAGGTATGATAATATAAGAGATTATTTCAACCAAAGTCTCTCTAAGTATTTCCAAAATGAAGGGATTGTCTGTGAGTCATCATGTGTTAATACTCCATAACAAAATGGAGTGGCAAAAAAAAAAATAGCCATTAACTACCATAACCTGAGCCTTACTTTTTGAAGAAAATGTACCCAAATCCTACTGACGAAAGTTGTTCTCACTGTCACATACATTATAACTAGGTTACCTTTAAGTTTTTTGGGATTTAAAACTCCTATGAAAATACTCACAATTTTATCCAAACTTTAATACTACAAACAACCTCATACTTAGGATATTTGGTTGTATATCATTTGTTCATGTTCACAGTCATAATAGGAAGAAGTTGGATCAAAGAGTAGTTAAATGTATTTTTTGTGGGGTATTCATCAATTCAGAAAAAGTAGTTAAATTTTGTGTTAAATTATTTTTTACTTAACCTTATCTTAAGGGGGAAACTTCATTCATGAAAGATAAAGATAAAGATTTCTTTTCATTTGATTTGTCCTTCCCCTTAACATCTCCACCCATTAATTATTCTAAATCTAAACATATTTTTTCTAAGCCCAAGTCAAACACTAACTCTAAGTTTGAATCCATTCCAAACACAAAACTCATGACTAAGGATAATACAATCATTGATTCTATGAAGGAATTATAAGTGTACTCAAAAGGAAAGCTCCAGCTTCTGAACTTGTGCAAGTCTAATAACGTGGCACAAACTTTGAAAATAAAGTAATTAATGTCTGTGACCTTGTTTCTCAAAATGAGCATGAATTTCCTAAAACTAAAACTGGTGATTATGATTTGCCTATACTAAGCATCCATTATACCTAATATCTAATTTTGAGTTATTTGAAAAATTCACCATTTGATAAAA